AATCGTGTACCTAAAGGTTCACGCTGTCCTATAATGCAACACTTTCATCCCAACCGACACCCTTTCTCCTGCATGCCGGAGGGGGTCAAAGCACATCCAATATGAGCCCAAGTGTTAGGCTGCAGCGCAGGGATCATTCCTGTTATTAGCGACTTGCGAGTTTAGTGCAAAGACGCACGATCGCACCGGCAAGCCTAGTGCGTGCCAGCCTGAGCTTTGTTTTTGCACAGCAAACTGACTTTCGAACCACCTTGCTGTTTCTCTCAGTCAAATGCAAACTGAATCCAGGAGCGAACTGTCCGACAGCTGGTGAATTTTGGTCCTCACGGCAGTACCAGCAATGTCGTTTTTCCTCTCAAAAAGATTCGATAGGAAGCAGGTTCTTTTTCTTCAAAATCCGAACATGCTCTAAAGAACACAGAGCACTCTGTTTTGGCCTCTGGCTGAGGATGGATTTCCATGCCTGGATAATGCAGGACAGCACAGTTAACAAACGTTCGTTTGGAATTATAGTCTGCAGTGAGCAGAAGCTGAACGTTTGCTTGGTTGCAGTCAATAACTCTGGGCGAAGCGACACTGAAAAGTCAAGCATTTCTGTGAAGTGTTAGCACAGAAACAGAAATAGACGGTTTTTTTTCGTGCATTTTCAAAATTTTGGAAAAAAATAATACTTTATACACAATTCACGAAGAAAAATTCAGTAGCTGCACGAGGAACCGAACTTTTGAATAGCGCAGTTCTAATGAACCACTGTGGAGTAGCTGCAGCAAAAAGAAATCCAATTAATGTTGGAGTGTCAGTTCAAATTTCCTAGCTATTTACTAAATGCTTTTTGAGCAGCTAGTTTCTGAACGTAGATGCTTCGCAGCTGTGATACGTCTATCGCTTAGTGGTTCACAAAACATCAGGCTTCTACGCTTCAATTTATCATTTTATTAAGTATGTTAAAACCTTAAAGTAGTAAAAAGCACTAATTCCCCTTAAATCTTATGAGGAAGGATTCACTTTGTTTCCTGTAGTAAAAATAATTCCCTAAAAATTTTGCGCTCTTTAGAGTGAAACAATCTGGTTGAAGATAAAGGGAACAGTCTGGCTGATTTATCCATTCACTTCTCATCACTTACTACTGCGGAATTTTCAGGATGCGGTGAAAAATACAATCAGTCTTTCCGGAAGCTTTGAGCTGGTAAGTTTTTATAATCTATAATTGCATCAGTACTGTGCCAAGTAGTCTTTAGTCCTTCGGTACCTCTTAATCCATTTTCGAATGACACCTGTCGATTCTTCAACGTATGTTTTCTCTACCAGAATATTCCAGCCTTGCAGTTTGAAGCTTCGCCGGGACTAAATATAATTGCATATTTCACTTACTTTATCTATTAGCTTTATTCATTTGTACTGAGTGACAAAAATCGACGAATTTAAAAAACAAGCTTACCTTATTTAGTCGCGTTTATTTTACCAACTCTTAAAAACAATTGCAAAATTTATCCTCCTTTCCTTTCACCAGCTCTTATTTGATGCCCCACCAAAATTTCGGATTTTTTATCCAGTCTTAATTTTTTAAAATACAACTTTAATATAATTCAGCATAGGGTGACGCTTTAATTTTTATTTCTTTCTCTGAGCCTTTTCGTGAGTCAATATCCCGAAATTCTCGAACTACTCTCTCGGTTCTCGAAATTTAAACTAACTCGGTGTTTCTACCTCAAGCCACTGATCCGGATAAGTTAATGCTAAGAACATGGGCTCAAGCTAATTTCGTCGGAACAAAGTTTTTTAACACAATTTTTCCTTTCCAAAACATCAATTTTTTTCATTATACGATCTGAAAACATGCAAACTTAGCTCGGACGATAAAATGCGCCAAAAAGCAGCTCTTTACTGGCAAGTCCATCGACTCCCCACCACTGAGAAGCTATTCTGACCTCTCGAATTGTATCTGAACTGACTAATATTTCGTTGATAAAATCGGACCTTCGATCATTGGCCAGGCAAAAGTCCTGGTTGCCATTACACCCAACTAACCTATTTGGATTTGCACATACATAAGGATGATTTATTCAATTAAAATTATTGGAAAGTTCGTTGGTACCTTTCTCGGGAGATAATAAAGTGCTGGCGGAACAGCTCGTTTATATTTCAGTTTAAGCACAATTTCACCATTGTGTAATTCGCCCTCCTCGATCGTTGTGATTCCTGGATTTACTGCATTTAATTAACTTTACGTAACAATTTCATACCTATTTGCTTTGTACAGACTTGAATGAGAAGCGCCATCTATCGCTAGCTGTTCCAGGTTTTGTGCTTAGTGTACCGTTGTACTGCTAAACTTATAAACTGCTAAAAGTCTTGCTTCCACCATAATTTCGCCAGGCCGGCTGATAACAATATTAGTCTAGATTAGTTTTTTTCAACAAAAATCATGACAGATATCGATCTCTTCCTCCAAAAGCGCATTTAGCTGCATAGCGCACCTGTCCGATTGCCGAGTAACTGCGCAAGGTGATTTTTCCCAATTATTTTTAGTTAAAATCGCAGCACCTAATTACAACTGTCCGTTGCAAAGACTAAAGTAAAGCATCGAAACAGTCTCTATAAAAGAGTTATTTCTCCAGTATGATGTTGTCTTGACGGTTCGATCATACGAGCATGTAGTGGAATCAGTCAAACTAGGCAGTTGTTTCGGCGCTTTGTTGACCAAGGCCGTGAATGTAAATAGCTGAGCAATTCAATCGTAAGACTTAAATGCTCTTCCCCCAAGGGAAAATCGGGGCCAATTTCTAGCACAGCATTGTTTCACACACTTCTGCGAGCGCACTTGGTTTCTGAGGCGGAAAGCCAAGCACCAAATCTGACGCTCACAACCAATGGTTATGACTCATATTTGCAGCTACTAATTTTTGGAACCAACCTATTACATTTTAGTTTAACTTAGCACCCCAAAGCGCACTCTGCCAAGTTTTTCGTTAAATGATTGGTTTTTCTTTTGAACATAGTGCTCCCATTCAATCTACTGCACTTTTTCGTTCACTCGAAGGATTTGGGCATTTTCAAAACCAAAAAAAGGAAGATCGGATTTTTCCATTCCCACCAATGTTCTTTTGTTAAAACTGAACAAGAACACCAGGAGCTTTAAGTGTTTTTTCCGAAAAATTTTCCTGAGCAGCAAAAGCGCTAGCAGTACCTGTATTACTGACCATTTCAATAGCGACTTGATCCGTTCCGTGAGAGGATTTATTGTATTCCGCAAAACCGGTAGCCTCATGGAATGGCTTTCCAGTCATGAAACCAACTTCGCTATGCACTGATCCTTCACTTGTATAGGCTAGAACACTGAAGTGCCAATTAGCATAATGTTTTTGAAATTTGATAGTTTCGCTGGAAGACAGAAGACATCGGCTTTGGTTAACATCTATTTTTTCGGAAAAACTTGCAAGTGAATCCCGTTTTTCTCATAGAATCTACATCAGTTATTAAAGGTTTCAGTTTAATATTACTTTTACTTCTACTAGCATCTCAAGACCACAAAAAGAAACTGCAAAATTTTCAAAACTCTAAAACATACGAGACATTAACCGGAGGGCGATCAAACATTGGGACCTCAGAAATAGAGATGTCTAAAACTTCTTTGTAAGGGTACTGGAACGAAACCGGAAATCGATCACCAGCAATAGTTTCAGTTTCCCAGTATCCAATAATCCATGATATTGGTTCCAGAATCGGTGGCAGCGGCAAACTCAGTTCTGAAATAGTAATAGAATCCAACTGTTTGATACAGGAAGGGATCAATTTTAAAACTCACCCACATTATGCAGGAGACTGGGTTTTCGATAAAGTCAAAAGCAAATTCTGGCCAGCTTTTCTGAGTCAGGAAAAAATCTTTCGAGACGCTACGATATTTGCTACACTTTTATAACAACCGGTGGCACATTCAAGTTTTTATGCGTTTTTTGCAGCTATGCAATGCAGAAAACGCATATTGACGAGAGGTTGTCTGTGTGATTTTTATGCGTTTTTTGCAGCAATGCAATGCGAAAAACGCATATTGACGAGAGGTTGTCTGTGTGTTCGTGTGTCTGTGTGCCTGTGTGTGCGTCTGTCACGCACTTTCATCTCCGGACCTATAAAAGCTGCGATGTGTCTGTGTGTGCGCTGGGCCTCTGTATCGGTTTTTCATCTCGAGACCGGCAAAAGCTACGGAGCTGAAACTTTGGGGACCTGTGTGTATGTGCGTCTGTGTGTCTGTGTGCCTGTGTGTTCGTCTGTACGATTTTTCATCTCGAGACCGGCAAAAGCTACAGGGCTGAAACTTTGGGGACATAATCTACATACAAGCCCCCATCCGCAAAATTGGCGCCAAAACCCGCGTGGTACTCGCGTACGGGCCCGCCAAAGTTTTTTTTGGGTCAGTTCATAACTCGAGGACCTGAGAAGCTAGAAGGCTGAAATCTTGAGGTAATGTTCCCCGCCAAAGCGGGTATTAGTGGGCTCAAACCCAGACCCCGGGTAAACATGGTGCCCCCGTACGAGCCCCCCAAAATTTTTCCCGCGCAAATTCATAACTCGGGGATCTAAGAAGCTGGAAGGCTGAAATCTTGGGGGAATGGTCCCCGCCCAAGTGGGTATTAGTGGGCTCAAACCCAGCCCCCGGGTAAACGTAGTACCCACATACGGACCGGTTAAAATTTTTTCCGTGTAAATTGATAACTCAAGTACCTGAGAAACTAAAGGAATGCAATTTTAAGAG